GTGTGTGTGTGTGTGTGTGTGTGTGTGTGTGTGTGTGTGTGTGTGTGGTGCTGAGGGTTGAATCCAGGACTCAGATATGCTAGGCAAGTATAGACAAGTGTTCTATCACTGAAAAGCTCAGGTTAATGTAGGCTTTCCCAAAAACTAGAAAGCCTCCAATCTCAGGTTCCCTCTAACACATTACTAAACTAGACAAAATCCCTGTGTTGAGGAATTGGGAAGTGTTGTGCTAACTCTCAGAATTCAGAGTTTGAAGATGTGGAAACCTGAAGGAGCAGATACTGACATTGCTGTCAGGCAACAGTGGCTTGTGATTGAGCAGACACCGGCAGAGTGTCCCCACAAGTATTCCAGATAACCTTCCAGTCTGCTCTGCTATTACTTAAGAAAATTAATGGGAACAAAATCACCTGCCTTAAACACCTAGTCAAGCAGGTCCAGACCCCACTCTCCTGAGAGAAGTTAAATAAGGAAGAAGAAGGAAGCAGCTGCTAAGCGGGCTCCTGTGGTAAATCCTGCCTTTGTTGCTTGCCCCTTTGTGTCTACAAAAACAGGGCTTGAGAGGAGGGGCTGTGAAAGGCTCATTCATCCATATGCTCAGGCAGGCTCTGGAGCACTGCTGTCTGCTTGGCAGATGCTACCAGTCAGCTCCTTTGCAGGCATGACTTTTTTACCCCATCTTCTGAGTCTTCTGGGGGACTTCTGAACTGAGCTGCAAGCCAGAAGACCTCTTCTCTTTGTCTCTTGTCACATTCGGTAGGTATAAAAGACATCTGCTTCCCAGACCTGTGTGTGTAAGCATCTGTGTAGCTGCATGTATATATACAGTGTTTGTTCTCTCTCTGTCTGTCCCCCCGCCTCCCCCGCCGTGTGTGTCTGTGTGTCTTTTGCAAATGTTTCTCCATGGGTTCTGGAGCTTGAACTCAGGTCACCAGGTTTTCACTGCAGGTGCCTTTACCCACTGAACTGTCTTACCTACCCACTGGGGAGTGATTTTTGTTTTTATTTTATTTACTTTTTTTCCTGTTGCTATAATAAGACAGCATGACTAAAGCAACCTGTAGAAGAGTTTATTCAGGGCTTAAAGTCTCAAAGGATTAGAGTTCATAACCATAATGGTGTGGGGAACATGAGGTAGGCAGGCATGGGGCTGCAATAGCTGAGAGCTCAGATCTTTTTTTGTTGTTTTCAAGACAGGGTCTCTGTGTAGCCCTGGCTATCCTGTATCTCAGTCTACAGAACAGGCTGTCCTCAAACTCCGAGATCCACCCACCTCTACCTCCCCAGTGCTGGGATTAAAGGTGTGCACCACCCATCTAGAACTCACATTGTAATCCGTAAGCAGGAGACACAGAAAGAGAGAAAGAGAGAACTTGTATATTAACTGGGAATGGTATGAATCTGTTGAAAGCTCAAAGCCAGTGAGACACTTCTTCCAACAAGGCCACATCTGCTAATCCTTCCCAGACAGTTCCACTAATTGGAGACCAAGCATTCAAATATATGAGTCTGTGAGGGGCATTCTCATTCTAAGCATGAATGAGTTTTTTGAGACAGGGTCTCCCTCCCTCACCTAGAACTCACTATGTAGACCAACTCTGCCTCCCAAGTGCTGGGACTGACCAGTCATTTAAAAGAAGTTAGATTTGTGAGCTTGATGTGCTTGTTTTGTCTAGGGCTGTTTTCTGTCTTTCTTAAAGGCTAGTTTGTTTCTTTGGGAATACATGTTCTCTGGGTGGGGAAGGTTCTGCAGGTATATTGAACAGGCGGAGGCTAGAAGGCAGACATTGGGTGCCCTATTACAGTCTTACCTATTCCTTTGACGCAGGGCCTCTCCTTGAACCTGGGACCCTTATTTTCTTGGCTAAGTAGAAGCCAGTCAGTCCCAGTGGTTTTCCTGTCTCTGCCCTGCCTTGTGCTGGGTCCAAAGTCAGGTACTTGTGGTTGTGGAACATGTGCTTTTAACTGGAGCCATTTCCAGGCCTCGACCCCAAGCCTTCTATCATAGAAGACACAAACACTTTAAGACTGGAGACCCTGTCTTTTCTCATTTGTGTGTTTCCTAGCCCCAGTGAAGACTGAATCAGGTTAAACAGCCAAGACTGAGCCTTCCTCCTCCTTCACTTCCTCCTTCAAACACTCCATAGCTCCTGCTTTGGCTGACAGGACTCTGTGATTACCAGTGACACAAAGACATGGAGGAGCCACTGTTAGAGTAATCCAGCTCCTGGTGCAGGAGGTGAACTTGACAGGATAGACACTTAGTGGGCCTGTCACATCCTCTTTTCCCAAGGACCTCCACACCACCTGGCAGGAAGATGTCCTTCCAAATGGGACTGTGCTTTGGGATAATCAAGTCATTAGTGGTCAGAGGAGCTGCAGGTTTCCAGCTGGCTGGGAAGGGATATTTGTAGCAGCTCTCCTGTGGTCACAAAGCCATGGAGGTGTTTCCAGACTTGGAGATGCTACTTGAAACTCTCCTGCTTGTGTTACATACGACTTCCCGTAACATCATCACAGCAGCATGATGTCACCAGTGCACCAAAACACACTGTCATTGTATGTGTCATAATGGTGCTCATCATGCCCGAACATGTTTTGGAGGGGATACATGTGCGGTCATATGCTTGGAAGCCAGAGGCCAACTTGGCATGGTGGTCTTCAGGATGCTGCCACCTTTTTGTTGAGACAGTCTCTCATTAGGACCTAGCACTTGCAATTTAGGGTAGGACAGCTGCAGCAGGCAGCCCTTTATGCTTGAGGGGCCCTTCTCAAGCCGTTCATTCCGTCCCAAGAGAGAGGACTCTGCTTGTGAGTCTCTCTGTCTTCCCTGGGCAACATGGCCCTATGTAAGGCATTTAAATTCTCCAGCCCAGAAGCCTAGCAGTTGGACCTGGGAGGCATAGTCTTTTGTCATAAGCCCCAGTCTGCATTGGGCATAGATACACAGCACAGAGAATTTGTTTTTGCCAGCACTCCAGCCTCCACCCATGCTGTGTGTGGTGAAATAGTCATGGATTCCTTACTAGCTCCCATTCAGCACGTCGGCCAACACTGCTAAATGGGTAGATTTTCAACATCAAGTAAGGATAACTTCTGTTAGACACACTGTTCACTTCTCTATAACACAGGTAAAAAGACCTCACAACAGAAGAGATAGCTCTGTAAACCTTAATTCCACTCATTTTGCATTCCACCTACAGCAATTTGTAGGGTTTAACCGACTGTGGTCCCAGGCAAGATTTAAGATCTATTCCCATACGACATTCAGGTAAAGGGGGACCCACACATTACACAAAGCCTGTTTAAACACGTAGACTTTCATATTCAAATACTTGTTTCTGTCACATTCCCCAACCCCTGGCACGCGGATTAATGTAAAAACAGATCTCAGTAGACGTTTCACACTCAGGTACTTCCCAAGATGTATTTGGAATTCATAAGGATAATAATAAACATAAAATAAACATTCTATGTTTACTTTCTTCCCTTGCCTGGGATATTTTCTGCCTATGTGTTTTGGCTTTCTGTTATGGGTATTTCTCAAATGCCTAGCTTCAATCCCAAGCATCACCATAGCACAAACATGTGCTAGTAAAATCGTTGGCTAGCAACTCTGGACAGTGAAGGCATTTGCACTAAGTGGTCTTAAGGCTAAGCTAGGGGGAAACAACCAGAATGTTTTGAGATCCAAAAGGCAGAAGGAAAGGGTTTGCATTGAACACCAACCACAACACTAGTATCTTTAAATTTCCTCAGAAGCATTTTTTTTCTTGAAGTAGTATATACAAGTAGCTTTTCACTATGTTTTTCCACTTTGTAGTGAAGATGAAATCTTGTAAACATTTACCGACTATCTGTATTCTTTATACGAATGGCCTACTGATACTTTATCCCCTTATTATATTGTTTATTTATTGCTGTAAAACTTTTGTGGTTGGGGCTGGAGAGATGGCTCAAAGGCTTAAGAGCACTGGCTACTCATCCAGAGGTCCTGAGTTCAATTCTCAGCAACCACATAGTAGCTCATAATCATTTATAGTGAGATCTGGTGCCCTCTTCTGGTGTGGAGGCACACATGGAGGTAGAATGCTGTATAAATAAAAATAAATGCTGTATAATAA